GAAAACACTATGCCTGTATCCCTGCCCAAATCTCTAGAAAGATAACCCCCTATGTGAGTCTTGGGAAATCCCTCAGGGTATTCCAATTCAAAGCCTGGATTGAGAATTGATGTTCCCAAGCATTTTAGCAGTAAGACCAAAAGATCTCCTCACCAGCACCCTTGTATTAGAAATAAAAACTGAGTCTTGCCCAGTGCCCCACTCATCCCATTGTCCTTCCTTTCTAATGAGTTGTACTTTTGGATCCAACATTGTGGGCAGCATGCCCAAATAAAACCCAGAGGGGCACAGGAGTCAAGGGGAATAAGGAGGCTCAGGGCTCTTGCCCCAGGTATGGCACGGTGAAGAGAAGAGACCGGAATCGGGATAAACAGGCTCCACTTCCTGGCTCCACCGTTGCAGGGTCCTGGGGCACCACTTACATGGATGTCTGTGTCTTTTTTATACTATGTATGTAGAGAGAACGAGAACATCCATCTCATGCAGGTATGGAGGGGTTAACTTGAATGTAAGGGAAGGTGGTGGAAAACAAGAGGGGCACTGGAGAGTGTTAGCACCTTTTCAGCAGTGGGGGCTGATAAACTCAGAGTCTGTCTGAGAAATTACTCTGCAACTAACGAGCCTCAGCCAGAGGGTCTCTGAGGACCAGCAGCTTGTGAATTCACAGTCTGATGAGTTATTATGGTTTTGACTCTGGTTCTCATAATACATTGACATCTATCTAGACTGATTCCAGAAGAGAGCCTCATCTATGCTTAGAGGGTTATACAATTCTTTTGGAAGTCCAGAAATGTAACTTATCATCAGACTCCACAGTTCCCAAGATCATTCATGGTGCAAGGTGGCCATTGTGTTCTCTCTCTCTAGGCTTGTGTCAGTCACTATGTTCCTACAGTCCCTCTGGGAGCTGAGTTATGGACTTCTCTGGAACCTCCATCCCAAAGCCCTCCATCTATCTGTGGTGACTGGTCATCACGAGCAGAAGATGTGAGTCATGAGGAGCTAGCACTCATATGCACATAAGAAGAACTCACTTATTCTTTCAACACCAAGCATCAAGAGCTACCACACAGCCACGAGTGACTTGGATTGACAATATCAAAAGAGGTTAGGGCCTTAGATCCAGAGACCGGATTCAAGATCATTATTAGTCAGAAAGCTTACGACTTACTTGCCTTATGACTCAGAAATATCTTGCCTAGACATTCCCAGTCCGGTAAAAATAGGTTTCCCCCTCAAGAAGATAATTCAAGTTTTATAAATAGATGAAATAATGAAGTTAAAAACATCTGAGGAAAGAATGTTCTCTAAGCTGGGAGTGCCTTTGATCCAAAGTAATGAAGAGAGACAGAAACTGGCACTTCCTACATGTTGCATGGAAGGATCACACACAGACATGTCACAATCGAATTAGTTAATATCTGAGCCCTGGCCTGTCTCAGGTTCTATTCCATGTCTCATAGGTTGGTCTAAAATTATAAATTATTCAATAATAATGACAATCTATAAAACAGCCACTCCATTACAGTCTCCATGAGTGTCTCTTGATAAATACTGTCATGCTCCTATGAAGGTGGAATGGCATAGAGCACAGATGGGAAAACTGGGAGCTCAAACTGAGGCTCATCTACATAAGAGCCGAGTGAGAACTGGAAGCTGTTCAGCCCCAAAGTGCATTTTTTTGCCCCCCAATCATGGGGCATGTCTTTCTGTGTGCTGTGAATATATGCTTCTCTTATTGATTGGTGAATAAATGTTGATTGGCCAATACCCAGGCAAGACATATAGGTGGGGCTACCAGACTAGGAATGCTGGGAAGAGGACACAGGTAGAGAGTCACTAGGGAGATGCCATGTAGCCACCGAAGGAGTATAGGTCCAGGCACTCTCCAGTAAGCCAAGACTACATAGAGATACGTAGATTAATAGAAATGAGTTAATAATTAAGAGAGAGCTAGCCAATAAGAAGTCTGAGCCACTGGCCAAACAGTTTATAATTAATATAAGGCTCAATGTGTTTATTTGGGACTAAAGGGCTGCAGGACCAGGTAAAACGGAAACTTCCATTTTCAAATGACACCCAACTTTTGGCACCTATGTCCACATAAATCCTGAGAGAGCTTGGGAAGGGATTCTAATCACAAAAGAACAGAGGCAAGCACAGCTTCTTGATAGCAGCATTTTCTCGTGTGGGCTCTGTTTGCTAGAGGCTTTAAGAGAGGATTCCTGACTCAGCATTAGCAGCAAAAACTGCATGGTTCTTTTAAGAGGCTTTGTTACCAAACAGCTAAATGGTGTTTATGGGCAACCATTGGCAAAGTTCTTGAGAAATTACTCTGCAACTAACTGGAGCCTCAGCCAGAGGGTCTCTGAGGACCAGCAGCTTGTGAACCTGGAAACTCCATAGAGTTATGGCAATAAACATGGCTTCCACCAGATTCTCTGAAAAGAAGCTAGATAGACTCTCAGAAGGCTAAGGAATAGGGTGGGGCCAGTTGCCACTTGAATTTTAGTCATGCAGTTCAGCAGATTAAAACTCCTGTGGTCAGAAAAAGATAGAGATACACAGTAAGACTGATTCAGAGGGAAAAACCTCTAAATGGTTTACTGTGTGTTTAAAATATATGTAGGCTTGGAGAGAGAAAAGAATAAAAGGACAGAGAAAGTCCTTAAAAAAGAAACAGAGTAGCTGAGTTTGGTGTCACAATCCCAGCACTGCAAAGGCAGAAGCAAGAGGATCTCTGTGATTTCAAGGCCAACTTGGTATCCAGACTGAGTTCTAGGACAACCAAAGTATACAGAGAAACCCTGCCTCAAAAAATAAAATTAAAAAATAGAGTAATAAAAAAGCCATCTAAGCCAAGCATTTCTGGCACACGCCTTTAATCCCAGCACTCGGGAGGCAGAGGCAGGCAGATCTCTGTGAGTTCTAGTCCAGCCTGGTCTACAGAGTGAGTGCCAGGACAACCTCCAAAGCAATAGAGCTAAACCCTGTCTCAAAAGACCGAGGGAAAAAGCCATGTAAAGATGAAAACTACACAGAGTGTCTGGGTATTATATGTTATTGTGTTGTCTTTTAATTGTTGGATTGCTGAGGAAGAAGAAACAATTGCTAAAAGACATTTTATTATAAATGCTGTTGGATTAATCCAACTTATACATTTTGAAAATGCCTTCACCTCAAAATTTAAGTCTAAGGACATGTTACATTGGAAAAGAGGTTCTACTTTTATTTCTACAGAAGATAAAAAGCTGTGGATTCCTTCCAGACTAATATTGTTTGATCAAGCAAGAACTCCTGAAGCAGTGGCCCAGGAGATCCAACATCCAAAACATCTGAGACTATGTAGCTTCAGACTACTACAGCCAGTATTTTGACAGGTTTCTGGATTTTCTCAGGATTCCTTTGGGATTAACAGTGCCCCCAAACAGCAGGAAGCAGTTTGGAGAGAACTATGCAGACATTCCCAAATATTGTTTATAAATGTTTGTTTTCATTTAAATGGCATTGGTTATAAGTGGTTAATGTTCACAGTCAATCTCCTTCTTAAGGAAAAAAAGGAGGATATGATATAGAAATGAATACTTTGTATTAGTATGGGATTTTTGCTTCTTCACGCAAATTTAAGGTCAATTTTGTCATATTTCTACTCTTGTTTAGGTATTGTGCCTATACATCTCTTTTAAAAATGTAATGTACAATAAAATACAGATTATAGATAGTAACCTGTAGTAGTTAAAACTTAGTTAAATTTTCTAGATATACAGAGATATATTTCAAATGAATAGGTATTCTTCAAAACCTTTCAAAGACCTTCAGAATATGGCATTTAAAATGATATATTATGGTTTTTCATGACAAAGAGACACAACTGCTCCTGGAAATACCAATTATGTCAGAGAGGAAGATGGGTTTGCCTTTGACATGGAAAGACTAACCATTTGGGCAAGAAACTGCTCTTTCCTGGACTGTTTGACTGTATGCTGTATAAACTGGACATGAAGGACCCACAGGAAAGTGACTGCTGAACTTGCCAAAATAAGATTGGACAGTCCTTCAGGGTTCCTGCTTCATGAAATAGTCTGCCAGACATTCTGCAGGACACAGAGAAAAATGAGTAACAAACTGCCAATACAGGCAGGACAGTTTCAAATTTCCTGCTTCACTGAGAAGTCTGCCAAACACTTTAGGCCTATAAGTTAAAAATGGATGACCCAACGTTACAGAGGAACTTTGGGTGACCATCCAGGCAGTGACAGTTTCTGTTAATTCTAGAGTTTATATATTATCCTTCTGAGGTCTTTGATGGAGTTGAAGACAGATAGTTATCGTTTTCCTTAGTTATGATAAAAACTACGCTACATATAAAACTTTATACTTTAAATTTTGCCAAATGTTAATGGGCTAAATATTGTTAACTATAGTTCTTGTTTGATAGTTGTTTTATTATATATAATTTTACTATGTTAAAGTTAAAACCTTTCTTTTTATTTAGACAGAAAAGAGGAGATGACAGGTCATGTCTTTCTGTCTGCTGTGAATATATGTTTCTTTTATGGGTTGGTGAATAAAGGCTTATTGGCCAGTAGCCAGGAAGGAAGTATAGGTGGGGCTACTAGACTAAGAATGCTGAGAAGAGAACACAAAAAGAGAGTAGCCACAGAAGGAGTAACAGGTCTGAGTGTTCTCCAGTAAGCCAAGACTGAATGGAGATACATAGATTAATAGAAATATGTTAATAATTAAGAGAGAGCTAGTCAATGAGAAGCCTGAGTCATTGGTCAATCAGTTTATAATTAATATAAGCTTCAGTGTGTTTATTTGGAACTAAAGGGTTGTGGAACTAGGCAGAACAGAAACTTCTGTCTTCATCCCAAACTGTAACTTCCCAGAACTTTAACTTTTCTGAGCTCAAAGTACAGAAACACAGGCTTGAACTTAAAGTTTTGGGGTTTCTGATCTGTCATAAATTTGCATTTCTGTCTTAACATGTCCCACAGAATAAGAAATGGAACCAAATGGCCAAGGCTGAGCTAGCTCCTTGGAGTTCCAGGGTATTGGACATCCACTCTACCAAGAAACTGAGAAGAATCCACAGGCAAAGATGCCAGGTTAGCCTTGTGCCTGGCAACTTGTTCATCACATATCCACTGGGTACCCAATGCTATGAATTAGATTAATTCTCTATTTTATAGGAAATGGAGACCCACAGTCTAGAATGATTTAACCAAGGTCACTTAGCAAGGATGTGACAAGATTTGGAGTAGAACAACAATTTATCTTTCCTATTAGGTTGAAATTCTTTGAGGTCAAGAGCATATTTTGATATATTTGTTTTCCTAGCACTTATCCCAATGCCTGGAACAGACAGAGCTTTAATAATTGGAAGATCATGTTCCTCTTTGACACTAATAATAACCATTCAAGTATGTGGTTGGCATCAGAATAAATGCTGTATTTTGCATTATTTTTCACTGTTCAAAATGAATCTAAGAAATACGTTTTAGATTCTCTTTGTGTTTGTGTGTGGTCCATGCCTGTAGGTGTCAGTGCTTGTGGAAACCAGAGGAGGGTGTTGAGTGTCTTCTCCCATCACTCTGTGCTTAGTTGCCTTGGGACAGCATCTCACTAAACTAGAGGCTAGCTGTTTTCGCTCCCAGAATCTGCTTCCAACATCCTCGACTGCAGTCTTACATGTGTGTGCAGCCAGGCCCAGATTTTTACATGGGTGCTGGGAATTCAAACTCAATTCTCCACACCTGCAGAGCAAGTGCTTTCATCCACTGAGACATCCTCTTGCCCCTTTTATGTACTTTGAAGATAAAGAAACCTATTTGGAGAGACCAGGGTTAGGTTGTTAGCACAGAGAAAATTTAAGTCTAGGCTCCAACACTGTATGATACCCAAGAGTCCAGTGTCAGGGACTTCCCAGGATGCATGCTCCAGGTACCATCATCAGGGCTTTTGTGAGTACCCATCTACCATGAAATATGAGAAGCTGGGGCTTTCAGGTCAGAACTGTGTTTTCCAGTGTTTTCCCAGTATCCTGGGTCTCCCAGAGTCTGAACCATGAATTATTCGAGCTCAGTGTTCCTTGTGAACTACGTTTGTTCCGGATGCATGCTGAGAGCCAGCTGGCTGCCGCCACAGCTCAGATGTCACCTGGTGCTTTCTTGTGAAATAGGTGAATAAATCATATGCACAGTGAAGCCAGACTGTGCCTGTCTGGGTCTGTATCTGATAAGGGGCTCCCAGCAACAGCTGACTTGTGTTCCATTTTCTGCATTGCTAACTGTGGGAAGCGTGATAAGAATCATCAGATTTCAAAATGGGAAAGCCCATCCAATCTCTTGCTTTACAGGTCAAGGGACCTGCAGTCTTGGACTAGCATACTGGGTTACAAGACATGGAAATCCATTGAATTTAGCAGAGGGTGATGTATAGTAAGTATGGAAGAGCAGTGTGGAGAATTGCAGGAGCTAAGGAACTGGGAAGTCTTCCCTCTTGTGGTAGACACAGAGCTGTACCACCCAGATCCCATTCCAAGAAATCCTAAGGTTCATCTGAGGGCAGCAACAGACGGCTCACTCAGTTTCTGCCTTAGCTATACAGACATACGCGACTCAAGATCACAGCATAGAATTTCCAGCTAGCACACAGTGATCTAGTTATTTCAGCCCAATCAGGGACTCTAATGGGCATCACCTGCTGGGTTGGCTTAAACCATCAGACCTTGTCACAATTCTACTTTTCCATGTCCCAAATACTATCTTTGCCTACTCCCTTTGGCAGGAGTCAACCTCTAATACATTTCTTGAACCCCAATTCTACACATATCTCTTTTGGATACCTCAACTGTAAAACTCTGACTCCCTCTTGCTACATTTCTTGGCCTGTCTCCTCCACTTAACAGACTCTAGTCTATAACCACCTTTGATTTTTCTTCTTGTATCTAACCCACACTGGAAACCTGAGTGCCTGTGTCAGTACCAGGGTTAGTCGTATTTTCCAAACTGGCTATAGTAACATCTCCAGTCCTCTAGTTTTCCCAGGAACTGACCACTCCCTATTAAACTGCCTTGCTTACTATAGCTCTTTGAGATAACAAGCTTTATTTGACCCATAATAGCACTGAGCTTGAGGAAGGACTGTCACAGAATGCCGTTGGCTAAATTAGTGAGCCCTGTGTTCTCTTGAGCCAGCTACCTCTCCACTTTGACAGTTATCACCTCGTCTTCTAAAACAACGATAATGGTATCCTCTTCATGGTTTGCTGAGGAGCTTAAATGAGATAACTATATGTGCTAAAGACCAGCTGACCCCCTTCCTCTGGAGTTATGGAATCAGCGAAGGTCAAGGTGGTGCAGGAGAGACAATAAAGGTGTTGAAAGGGTGTGAATAGAGGCTCTGTGAGCTAGACATTTGGGGACATCCTCCTGGTAGAAGCACACTCAAAACTGGCTCTGAAGGGTAAAGTTGAATTGTGCCAGCATGTAAGTGGACTCTGAATTCACAATGAAGCAACAGTGATCATATGTATCATCCCACTTATGAGAGACCCTGTGCTGATGAGTGACCCTTTCCGGAAAGTATTTTAGGTTACAAAGTCCCAGGACTTGGCACAAGCGCTACTTGCCTATATAAAGCACTATTTTCCCATCATAAAGCTTTGGTCTCCCCATGTGTAAGGTAGGAAGCTTGAGAGCTGAGCCCTGCTTCTGAGATCCATGCAAGTTACTTCTATCCCCGGCATCCATACATATAACATTAGGATATTCACAAAGAATTATACCCATAGCTCACTTGCATGGCCTCTATGTGGACACCTCCATGTGGTGTTAGCAAAGCCCTAAGAGGCTAATGTTTAGACAGTAAGAAGTACTTCTACTACATGACACACTGTGTAACATGTTTTTAATGACCTACACAGATTAATACAAGGATTTGTGTACCATAAACAAACAAAGAAACAAACAGACAAACTGGATGCAGGGGAACTGCTCACTCCTCTGTAAAAGATCTTCCCCAAACACCATTGGATGCTAAAGAGCTGCATGTGAATAGTCCCAGCCCTGGTGGCCCAGTACTTCTCTTCCTGACATATGCGAGCTCCTGGATCTCTGACAGATTCTAGGACAGATTGCACACTAGAATGGCAGGCCACTAGGGTATGATCTGAGTGGTACTGAGGCATGCATATCTAGGAGGTGGAAAAACCTCATTGGGACACAGAATCTTGGGACCCCAGGAACCATGGAGATGCTGACAGAGACAGGCAGACCTTCTTCATACCAAGTATTCCCAGGAAGCCTGAAAAACCCAGAGAACAGAAGGCATGTCATTGTTAATTAACATGTGCTTCATACTGGGACTGCTAGGCAGGCAGGGGACAGCCTGGGGCCCTGGACAAGCCTCAGCACATGAATTCCCTCTGTAGACCTTGAAGCACAGCTGAGTTTGAGGATGCCCAAGGCTGTTTGTATCCTGAGCCTTTTCAGATTACATTACCAAGCTATGACCCCTGCATTCCTTACTCACGAGGCCAACTATGGGACTAACAGTCTGACCAGACACTTGTCAACATTTGCTTCTTCACACTAGCTTAGAAGGCTCTTTTCCTCTTCTCTTCATGGGAGCTTCCTACACTCTCTGGAAGACCGTTCTTTCATCCAGGTTCCCCTGAAAGCTCAAGAGAGAAGCAGCCAGAGAGAGACCCCCACTTCCATAACTCTGTCACCTTGAGTTTCTTTCTCAAGCACACAAACAAAAATGTTTGGTTGGGGCAGTGCGCTGTTTCCAGTGCACACTGTGTGAGCCCCTGAGCAGCAGGCTCTGCCTTCGGGCTGGCCATCCTGAAGAACAGGAGTAGCTCTCAGCACTCCAAAGTTGCCCATGCTGCTGTTGGACAGCTCTTGTTGGAAATGTATTCCTGTTTTTACCCAAAGGCAAGAGCTTCTAACTCGAGTCCTACGTAATAATATTCCTCTCCAGACAAGCATGCCAGCCCTTCAGATATTCCCACTCAGTGGCCACGCCCCCATCAGGTCTGCTCCCCAAATGCGTTCTTTCTTTTCATCTCAATTGTACTTTGTGAAACATCACTTTTATTTCTTGGAATCTTTTGTTGTTGTTAATTTAGTATTTTGAGAATTTTATACATGAGTACTGTATTTATATCATACCCCTCCTTTTCCCCCTCCCAACTCTGGCCATGTTCCCACCTCCCTCTCAAATTATTTACCTCTTCTTAATTATATATATATATAATATGTATTTATATGTGTGTGTGTGTATTATGTATAAAAGATTAAAGAAAATATAAGGTGGAACATAATTAGTGCCAAGTAGTTCTGGTAGATAGCATGTCCTCAAATAAACGTGTTTTTTTTCCACATGGCTAAATGAATGAGTAAATGGAGGCTTTGCATGCCATAGGTCAGGGTACAATAATGTAGTGATCTCTCTTATACGGGTTAGAAGTTTATGTGGTCAATCTATGTCAGTATAGCTTAGAACTTCACTTATAGTGCTGATCAGGTAAGACATGCATCACCCCTGCTCCAGTAGCTCCTGAGATTGTCACTGAACCCAAATGACAAAACAAATGTAATAAATAGTATGAGTGAACTCACAAGTCACTTAGCCGAGTTCATCAGGTCAAGCAATTGATAGGAGCCCACAGGAATAAGGATTCCAAATGGCAGGGAGTTGATGGGGTCAGCCAGAATGAGAAATAAAGAAAACAAAAGCAAAAGCTGGGACAAAGAGGTATTGCATAAGCTGACAGCTTATGTCAAGCAAGTTTGGTAAGAAGTACAGCATCATACATACTACTTGCAGGGAGGAAACGGGCAATGAACAGCAGAAAACGAAATCAGACAATGTTGGCAAAGAGAACACAGGATACCTCAGACAGAGTTGCCTTAGGACACAAAACCACAGCCCTTCATGGGAGAAAGTCAGATTCCCAGGAACTTAAAACTTATCTCTTCTGAGACCCTGACCCCAGTCCCAACCCCAACCTTGCCAAGTCTGCCCTGGGCAAGGACACAGATCTAGCATCCCCTTTGTCCTTTCACCAGGGACCATGAAGAAAAGACTCTGAGAAAACCTTAGATTAGTCTGGCTCCCAACAAACAAAAAAGGACTTCATGTGGAAGAGGTGTTACATTGAAGAATTGTGTGTGTGTGCATGTGTGTGCGTGTGTGTGTGCGTGTGTATGTGATATATGATACATATGCTAAATGAGGATTATGTAAGTTTTGTTATATACCATATATATACCAATGACATACATATATTAACATATATATAATAGCATACCATATATTCTAATTATTATACAGACCAGAAATTCATAAGTTTCATAGGTGACAATAAATATATTACATACCTTCCACAAATTCATACCAAATCTTAAGCAATATATAAAGTTTACGTTCAATATAACTAAGGTTATTTCTTACCATACAATATGTCACAGCTAGAGTTGAACTGCAGGAATCATATGGCCACTGTTCCCAGAGGACCCCCTGAGGAAAATAAACACACAGAAAAGTGGGCAGGGGTAAGGGAGCAGACAAACAGTAGAGACTAAGGGTCCTCCCTATATAAAATCAGTAAGATAATTCTAAACTTTCTATGGAAGTACAATGCCCTCATCCAGCAAGTATAAACTGAAGAGAGAATGGAGTACAAGAAGCTAAGTAATTATGTTATTTATAAATACACATTAAGTAGAGTGAGCATATTGTGGAAGTGGGGGCAGACAACCAAACAACAGAATAAAACAAAATTCCAAACATAGACACACAATAAAAGATCACATGATTGGCCTAGTTATCACAGTAGAGAAAGGGTTAGTGCTGAATTAGTTGCTATTAACATAGAGACAATGAACCTTAAATTCCAATATACACAAATTCAATTCCTGTTGAATCCCATAGGTTTAAATGTAACAGGTGAATAACTAATAACAAAGCTTATTGAGCAACATATAAACCTAGGGTAAGCATATGTTTCTTAAGCAAAATACACATTTGACTTTAGTAACAGTCAAAAATTATGCTCCTTGAAAGAGTGCCTGAGGCTGGAGAATTGACTCAGCAGTTTTGAGCACTGGCTGTTTCGTTTGTTTTTTCCAGAGGACCCAGGTTCAATTCCCAGCACCACATGGTGCTCACCACTGTCTATAACTCCAGCTCCAGGGGATCTGACACCTCCCCAGGCAGCAGACACACAGGTGTTACACAGACATATATGCAGGCAAAATATACACATAAAATAAAATTAAAGTCAGAATGAAAATTTTAAAGATGCCTTTAAATTAGTTTTTAGAAAAGAAGAATGGTCCAGGGAGATGGCTTAGTCAATAAAGCACACGGTACAAAGCATGGGGACCTTAGTTCAGGTTCTCGGCACTCATAAAAAGACAAGAATGATAGCATGAACCTGTAGTCCCAGAGCTAGACAGAGGGAAAAGCAGGAGGATTCCCCAGAGCTCATTGACTAGCCAGGATGGCTAACTGGGTGAGCTCCAGCTTGTGTGAGAGAACCTGTCCCCCCCCCAAAAAAAACAAACAAGTAAGATGGAGAGAGAAAAAACTGACATCAATCCCTAGCCTCAATATGAACACTCACACACATACGTACAGAAACTATACACACACACACACACACACACACACAATAGTAAAAGAGTAAGGAGGGTTATTTAAATTATACATATTTTAAAAACCAACTTTTCATTAAAACATCTGAACTCCCAGAAATCAATAAGATTGAGACACATAATGGAAAATTTTAATAGTCAAAATACTTAAGGAAGTATTTCATAATAGGTCCAGATAGCCAACAATCATGTGTTTAACATCAGGAAATACACATTAAAACCACAATGAGACGTCACTGAATATCCACAAGAATTAATAAACAAAAACCAAAAAGGAATAAGAAACCTTACAATCCTAAGCATTGCAGAGAGCGTGTGTAGAGGAGCCAGGGCTTCTGCACCACTGATACTGATGTAAACTGATACAGCTCTGTAAAACTGGAAGCATCTGTTAAGGCTAAGAGATGCAGAGACCACGACTGTCTTAGTTAGGATTTCTATTGCTCTGAAGAGACACCATGACCCTGGCAATTCTTATAAAGGAAAAATATTTAATTGGGGTCATTTACACTTTCGGAGGTTTAGTCCATTATCACCATGGTGTGACATGATGGTATGCAGGTAGACATGGTGCTGGAGAAGGAGCTAAGAGTCCTACATATGGATTGTAAGTGGCCTGAGACACAGGGTGTGGCTTGAGTAATTATGAGATCTCAAACCCTGCCTCCACAGTGACACACTTCCTCCAACAAGACCATACTTACTCCAACAAAGTCACACCTCCTAATAGTGTCACTCCCTATGAGATTTTGGGGACAATTACATTCGAACTACCACAAAGACCAAAACAGTTCAACATCTAGATAACATGTAGTGAAAGGCATGTTATCCAAGGATGCTCAAAGCAACTTTATCATTAATAACCAGACTCTGAAGATGCCCCAAACACCCCCATACACATAGAATTGATGCTGTACAACACTGAGAAACATTACACTACTGTTCTGCCTCATGCATGTCCCCAATTCCATGATGTAATAAGACAAAGAAGCTCAATACAAGTGAGTCACAATTGTGTTATCCTATTTTAATGAATTATACAAGCACCCATGTGAGTCAGTGTTGAGAGAATCCATTAGTGTACACATTTATAGAAAGGTTGTTTTGGAGGGAAACGAGGGCACCTCTGAGGTGCTCTGTTAGAGTTCTCTTGAGTATAAGATGGTTACACAACTATATACATTTGTAAAAATTTATCAAATTAAAGGCTTAAGATGGATGGCAATAAAAAAGACAGGATGTTTGGGCTGGAGATGACTCAGTGGTTAAGAGTACATACTGCTCCCCCAGAGGACTGGGGTTCAGTTCCCAGCACCCATGTCAGATGACTCATGTCACCTGTAACTCCAGCTCCAGGGGGTCTAATGCCATCTTCTGGACTCAATAGACACCTTCATTCATGTGCATATGCACACACACACACATACACACACACACACCTAAAAATAAACAAGCCTTTAAAAGAAGAAGAGGTTAATTAAAATCCAAATTCCACACACATTTATTTTTAACATTCTAGAATATAAAAATCTATTTGTGGGTTATCTCACTATTAAACATGTGACTTGCAAAAAATGACAGTAAATACTGATTTATACTCTATATAAGTCTTCTATAAATAATATGCCATGATCATTTTCCCATTCAATAAACTGTGCACTGTCACATGAAAACAAATGCTTTGTGTGAAACATGTTGACATCAGATCAGCTAAAGAGTGCTCTATGGTTGTGCATAAAGGAATGAACAGGGAGCAGCAGAGAAAATGGCTCTCCCAGAACAGTGGACACCTCTTGGGGAAGTACATACATAAGCAAAGATGTTTCACGAGGGTTTCTCAAAAGTTATTGGTCCTCTGGCTCAGGAAGGTTTTCCTACCATCTCCTGTTTGCCACATTCTTACTAACACATTAAATACTTACAAGTGACAACTGGTCAACTCTGAAGACCAATACCTCCTACCACCAATTTTCATTTTTTGTACAATCAACAATGAAAATATATAAAATTATTTTAAAATGAAAACGATGGAGAAAACATGGGGAAATCTTTGGTGAGAAACACTTGGGAAACTGTTGAACAAAGTCATTAACTAGCTATGCCTCTCCTCCAAAGTGCTCAGTTGTGGGTTTTATCTAAGTCACATGTTACAGGCATTAGTGACAAAAATAGTGATTGTGAGTATTTTATAGTTTCATTAATTATAGCATATTCAAATATACTTATATTTCACTAATCAATTTGTGCACATTTGTACAGGAATAAAAGGAGGGGCTTCCATGACATTTACAGGAAGTTGAATACAAACCCAAATGTGTACATTTATGGAAGCAGCACCTATCAGGTATGTCTTTGTGATGGATGCCAGGAGAGGGCACCATACCCAATGTCACTGAAGTAACAGAGGCTTATGAGCTGTCATGTGGGTGCTGGGAACTGAATCCTGGTCCTCTAGAAGAACAACCAGTGTTCTTAACTAGTGAGTCATTTCTCCAATGCTCTCTTTAAAATTTTTAATTATGTATATGATATGGGGTGGCCTAGGGAACTTTACACATAAATACAGGTGCCTACAAAGTCCAGAAGAGTGTGTTAGATCCCCTATAGCTGGAAATACAGGTGTTGTGAGTCACCTAACATAGTGGTGGGAACTGAACCCAGGCCCTCTGCAGAAATAGTATGTACTGTTAACTACTGAGCCATCTCACTAGGCTATATGAATCATGCTTTCAGAAGCAGGTTTCCAAGGACATCCATGTTAACCACAAACCACAATTACACAGTTCAACATTCTTCCTTAAGTGTCTTGGTAAGAGCTAGAAGGTTCTATGTGTTCGGCTGAAGCAAACTGAATGAAAAGGTTATTCACACAGACTCTATCCTAAAGAGAGAAAGGGAGGGTAGAAGAGTATCAGAAACCTCAGAAGGGGACAGCACAGATGCAAAGTGTGGAGAGACAGAAGCATAACCTAGTAAAAGGTTGCAAACTGTACTCGGCTTCAACAGTGTGGCTCCCAAGTTGGGAACAGGAATCACAAGATTCATCCAAAAGGTAAGCTGGACGTCTCTGGTAAGAACTAACAGTCTTACCTGAAGGACAGGCCAAGAGTTCTCACAAACCTAAAGTCCACTGGGAGGTTCTGATGGGACAGTGGCTCCTACAAAGAGAGCCCCCAGCAGAGACAAGGTCTTTTTTTCTTTTTTGGTACTCTTCCTGGTGTTTTCACTTTTGAATGCACTTTACAGGTTTTATTTCTCATCAAAGGCTTTCCTTTATTGTGTAATCAATTTCTCAAAAATTCTAGCATCTATAAAGAACCCAAAACTTTAAATACCCCCCATCAAATCCACTCAATAAATAGGCAAATGAGTTAAACATTTACAATACTCAAAGGAAGAAATACAAAGGGCCAAACATATGGATAACTCAAGCCCATCATCTCAGCACTCCAAAAATGAAAGTGAGAAATAAGGATTTCAAAGCCAGCCTCAGCTGTACAGGGAGCTCCAGGCCAGCTTGGGCTACACAAGATTATTTTAAATAAAGAGCAAGCAAAAACGTGATCAATAAATACAGAAAAAGTGCTTAGCACATATCAGGGGATTCTAATTGAAATTACTCAGAGATTGCATCTTACTTCAACTGGAATGGTTATCATCATGAAACAGCCAACAACAAATGCTGGTGAAGATGCAGGGAAAGATGGCCTCTTATACACTACAGGTCTCTGTGCCCCGGAAATGCTCATGACAGTGTAAAATGGTGCAACTACTATGGAAATCAATGTGGAGGCTCCTCACAGAACTGAAATAGAACTGTGGCATGATCCAGATGGGCCAATATCTGAAGGAATCAAAATCAGCAATCCCAGAAATGAGCATCCATGTATCCTGCAGCACTGCTCATGATAGCTGAGATATGAAACATCCTACACAACCATCCGCAATGAATGGATGAATTAATGAGGAAGACGTACTGTATACACAGCATGGAGTTTTGCACAGCCATGAAGAATGACATGATGACATCTGCAGGAAAATGGATGGTGACACTTGGCTAAAACTAGTCAGAGAATAAGGACAACCTGGGAGGGCTCGGAGTCTGCACTCTCCTCGCTGTCAGACACTGGACTCTACACTAGACTGGGAGCATCAAAAGAAGCTCTTCTCTCCTCAACAATCACAAAGTGGGAGACTCAGAAGACAAAAGAAAAGGCAAACACGACAAAAGTGACAACTGATTAAGATTGGGGGATAAAGTCATGAAACGCTTTCTCAGTGGAAAATGGAAACTTACATAAATATATTCCCTACCCAAAGCAAAGATTCACTCAATTTAAACTTTGTATTTCACCAGAAAAAAAGATACTGGAGTCTGTTTCCAGCAACCAAAGCATTTATAAAGAATTTGGGTGCACAGGAATAAACAATAGAGTTTTGGAATGAAGGACAGGAACAAAATCTCTGACTCTACCCCTGTGAAGCCCCAAACTCCTATCATCTACAAGAGAGGCACTGGCACCCATATAAGGGCAGCGAGTCCTCATCCATGGGAGAGGCACTGGTACCCATGTCCCTGTAGAGAGCAGCTGAGTATGTAAGACTTACTTGACATTTATCGGAGCATTATGCTAAGAATTTGTGGTGTCAGAATTTCTAGCCAAAACATAGTAAAACTACACATACTACAGAGATGGAAAGAAAACGAGCCTAATACAGGGGAGTCTCCATCTGCCTCTATAATTGTGCCCCTGTAATTACAATTAAAGCCAGTCTGAGAATGAAATGCTATGCTAACACTCTCCATATGATTCCAAACTGTGCCCTTAATTTTCTCCTCCAAGAAAAAGAACACATGACTATATATCAAAAAATGTCTGCTCAGTAGCTGAGGGCTCAGATTGGAGTTAATTCCAAGGTTGATTGGAATGTCAGAGTTAATGATTTTTGTACCCAAAAACTTCAAATTTGTAATTATCCTAAATACTATGTAAACAGTGTTGAAAAGAACCTTGTTGTCTTTAACTTCAGTTCCCCCGCCCAAATTTCCTCAAATTGCTCTCTATGATAACCCCTTTCTGCAACAACTTCAAGTGTATTTGATAGTAACTAAAATTATGGTGCTTGGCCATTTATTGAATCTATACACCAGTCAGTTATTAGCGCAGTTACTAGGTCCCCAGGATTGCTTAATTGAAGAGTGCCACAGCTCAATGCCCTAGTATGGGCTGATGCCCATTTAATGGCGGCTGGAAATGCATGCATAAAAGTGTCAGGAAGTTAAGAAATACAAGCAGGCATCACCGAAAAGATGTGAAAGAAGTAAAGCACTCTGAACTGAGAAGGTGAGTAGCTGCCAGCAGCAAATCCAGACTGAAGGAGAAGAGAATTGGAAAGGGCTGATGGAGGTAAGGGGGGATGAAAGATAAAGAGAAGGGAGAAGGGGAGGAAGTATAGGGGAGGGGGAAGGAGGAAAAATAGGAGGAAGAAGAGAAGGGAGAAAAAGAGAAGGAGAAAAAACAGAGAGGAGGCCAGGGGCGGGGGAAGGAGCAATAGAAGAGAAAAAGGCAAGTGTGGCCCAACCTGGCCAACATGCACAATAAACAGAGTTTCTAAGAAGAGCAGGTCTTCTCCCCTATTGTAGGCTGCAATGCCATTGGTATTTGAAGGTCTCCACCATCCAGGGGTTATTTATGGACCTGGGGCTGTAAATCTTTGCCATATGACCTTGACATGTGGCTTACATCCTTTGGGACAGGTTACTTGATACAGCCGAGCCTCCATTCCAGGCTACTCCTTCCCCAGCCTTTTTCTCCACAGCAGTTGACTCTTCTCATGTTGACTTGGGATTCTACTCCGGCAGAACTACGGGGTTGCTGGGGGTCATACAGGCCTGCTCTGCCACTCTGAGGAGAAACCAGACCCAGGGAAGAGGAAAGGATTCTGTCCAAGGAATGAAGACTGAAAAACAAAGCTTCCTCCCTTCAGTCTGGGGAGCTCAGAAAGGCAACAGTTCAGCTTAACTGCAATCTAGGCTGAAGAGACAGTAAGTGCCTGCACACCTTTCCCCAGACCCCCCAGCCACCATTCTTCATGCTCTATACTGCAGATAAAGTCTTTGGTTCTTGTAGAAGAAAGAATACTGGGACTGACGACTGACATTAACTGAGCACCTTCTATGTGCCAGCTGCTATGTGCCAATGGTCTCATTTAGTTGCCACAAGAGTCCCACAGCACAGGACCCATCAGCCCTACCTCCCTCCACTCAGTCTCACCTTCCACATCTTCTAGATGAGCTTCTCAAGATCACACAGGTAAGTTCCAGACATAGCATCTAATCATTGGGTAGTTTGTCAATTAAATATGGTGCTAGGAGAAGATGTAGATTCCAGAGTCAAAGTACATTTGAGAAAGAAGCCCATAAAATTGTCTTTAAGTCCTAGAGTTTCCTTCAGAAGTGGGTAGTAAGGAGGCTAGAGAAGAAAGATGAGCTCATCCATTTGCTGTTCTCATAACCTGCCTGGGTGTTAACAGATGTATTAGGCTAACAACAGTGCCTATAACAAAACAGCCTTAGCACTAAGTCATTGAGATTGGAGACTTACTTCTTGCTCATTCCATAGACCAATAAAATGGCCAACAAGAAGCCTTCTCCAAAGTGATCCAAGACCCAGATGCCTATCATATGGGGCATGGTTTCACACGGTGATAGCCATAAAGGAGAAAGGATAAGGCGTTGTATAGCTAAGAACAAACACAAAACTTCTACTCCCTCCTCCGTGTTTACACCAAGTATGAGGGGCCTAGAATGAGATTTAAGGAAACTGTATTATTAGTAAGTTCTCTTGTAACCAGCCATTGTATGCCATTATAAAAAGGCAAAGGATTAAGTTGGTCATATTTAGGCAGGAAGACCACAATTTCATGGTCACCCTTACTCCAAAGTAAATAGTTTATTAGAAAGAAAAAGGCAAGAACTCCTTCAGTATTGTCTGAAGCTGAATGAGTTCCACACGCTCACAGTGAGCTTCACCCACACGAGAATGGCAGCTGTCAGAGAGTACACTAGGCTAAGCATAGAGGCCAGGTTTCCATCTTCTAATGCAGAGTCCTTCTTGCATGGCCCTCCCACCGACAAAGGGGAACCAAATACCACCTGGCTCCCCCCTGCACTCTGGGGTATCTGAGAGCAGTTTCTCAACACCGAACCCAGTTGCAGAGATAGGGCTGTATGTCTAAGCTTTTCATTTCTATCAAAATCTGATAAATGCAGCCGAGTGAAGGAGAGCACAGGCGTTTTGGAGTTCTTAAAATTATTGACTCAGCCAGTCTGGTCTAAAGGAT